CAGTTCAAAATGTAGTTTGATCAACTTTAAATCCCCTCCTTTTTTAATTGATTCTATAAATTTCTATAATCTTCATAAAAACGATCAAGTCATGACCCTGAATAGTCATTACAAAAATACATTCATAAAGTCCACATACGCTCATTTATGACCACAACCAATTGTGAACTGCACAAGCCTCTTATGTCACGCATTGTTAAATCTAAAAGTATTATTGAAGAAAAATTTTTCAATGTACTGTCATCAAATTTACTTGATTTAGGAAGCAATAAAGTAATAACAGTTTTCTCAGTCTCTTATATGCTTTATTTATGATGTTGTTATCGTAATGGTTTATTGCTCACAAATTTTTTATTGGATCTTTGTTCGATGTCGTGGTATTTATTTTGTACATGACCATCTATTTCATAATCAATTAAACTAGAAGCTGAGGTGTGTAATTGGTGGATTAAGAATTTGTTGAATGAATATTTTAAATGCCTGAGGGCAGTGGTGAACAACCCTTTTGTGCCACAGCACAACTTAGAGGTAAACTATGATACAAAACGCATAAAGCACACGTTTTGAGGGATTTTGGAATTTTTTCTGAACATCGCTGACAAAGAGAGATCAAGTTTCTTTTAGCTTGTGCAGCTGTACATTAAAATTCAACAAATTCTATTCACGCACCTCCTTTATTACCATTTATTATGTCCAAAACGGTAATCATTATTGATTAAATGTTAATCAATTATTCATTAAAGTTCGACTAACATTTATTCATAGATTATGCATTAATCAATATTTACTTCCAATTTACATTAGGGGTCGTTCACTTATGACGTCCAAGGGGGGGGGGGGGGTGGGGTTAGCAAGAAAAGAACAATAGAAATTCCTGGAAATCCATTGTTCTCTTTTTAAAAATGACCGTTATTTTCGGACGTCATAAGTGAACGATCCCTTAAGAATTTTGTGTATTTTTAGAATTTTCCACGTGAGTTTATTTCGAAAATATAAGCTTTGCTTAAAGGAGCATTAAAATATTTTTTGTGAGCATTGCTCGTGTTTAATTCTCTGACTACATGTTTCCACGGCTTTAACTCTGTTTATATATACATAAAAATCCATTATGATAATATTTATGATGTACGAACATAGAAAATTTTTCTTCAAAAATTTGAAAAGTTTTGTTAACAGAGTTGCTTTCCTGAGGCTTGAAAATAAACAGGAAAAGTTTTTTGTAAATTTTTGCTAGAAAATCTTATCATTTGGAATTGATGGAAGGGGAAATTACTCACAAAGAGAACATGGATGGCTTTGAAAGGTGAACATTTATGGAATTGTGGATTGTTCTTTTGTGAATAGTAGTAGAAAGGGGCGATAAAGCTAGAATACAGACTTGACGAGAATATAGTTTGGTTGTTCCGAGAACAATAAGTTCATAGTGTTAGAGTCAAAACTTTGAAGATGCAGATTCTCTTAAATTACTGAGAATTGAACCAAATTCTTCAATTTGTAGAGTTTTCATCATCTTTTCTTGCACAAAAATACATCCTTAAATCAACTCTGTTTCCAAATTTATTTTCTTAACACTTTTAAATTCATCCTGAACTCGAATTGATTCAAACTCGATACAAAATTCAAGATCTTGATTAATATCAATCTTAATAATCTTTCCAGCCTAATTTTTAAAAATTTCCACAACTTAAAAGACACAAATAAGAAGCAAAAACCAAAAATATAATTAAAAATGGCTGTTCAAATAGTTTTCATAAATGCATTCTTTTTTTCCGTTCCTATATTTTATCCAACAAAAACTGATTTTTATTCAGCTGCCAAAAATTAAGCTTATAAAAACATAAAAACTTTAAAATAAACACGAAACATGATGAAAAAAGTTCTTTTTATGATTTTTTTGTAGCAAATGAAAATGCAGAAAAAAAATGGCAAAGTCATGTGCAAAACTATTTTCTTTGTGGATGGCGTCAGAGTTGGAAAATGGGTTTGTGAATATTTTTTATGGCAGATTTGAATGTTTTAGTAACATGATGAATTTAAGGTTTTTAGATTAGTTTGGATCAACCTTTATTGAGTCATAGCTTATTTAGTCATTTCTATACATAACTATTGTCATCATAAATTGAATAAAATGAATTTTATTCAACCAGCAACAGCTTTAAGTGAGCAATTATTCAATAATTTTAAGCATCACTTAAAATAACAGCATAGATGATAAATCTAGAAAGCTAGCCAAAAATATCAGAAATAAATCAAATCATTTCCATTTCAATATTTTGCCACAACAATTTTCTAACTCTGACACAATTCAAGGCAAAAGTTTAAGCCATAAAAATACTTTACACTAAGCATTAATTATTGTTTAAACTTTCTTGATCTCTCTTTCCATGACATAGATATCTATGTCAGCACCAAAAGCAATTCAATTTTCTTTCATTATCGTACACACACAAAAAATAATAAAACTTTTTGTGACATGATTTTGCATCGATTTTTTTTTTGCAGGATTCGTTCATCTTGAATTTGAAATATTTGTATCTATGTCCTTTGAAGACTTGTTTGATATGACAGTTGTTGAATGAAAAAAATTAAACACGATCATATTAAATAAATATATAAAATATAAAAGAGAATTGTTTGGAAGTTAGCAACAGCAGGTTCGAGTGTTGCTTCCTAGTTTTAGTCATATTTTGACGCCCTGCATCAATAGCTACACGACTGTCGGTATAAAGCTTAACCATATAAATCCTTTGGTATTTTTCTCAGCCTTGACCTTCACCCATTTGCATCACCACTGCCTAAACCTTACATAACATCTAAACAACTCCATATTAAGGAGATTTGAATATGGATGTTAAGCTTTAAATGAAAATTGAAGCTTTTGTGGATTTAAAACTCATAGATTCGAGAACTTTTTGCACTCGAGTGCTCTTTGTTCCTTTAATATGCATAGAAAATCCTTTAAAATCTACTCTTTGTCTTGCTTGTGAATCCTTTCGACTTTCTGACTTTTTTTTCTACATTGAATAAAAAATAGGAGATTTTGAGGTTAGAGTGGGTTTATTTGATAGACATTGAATTGATTTTATTGAAAATTATTGGATAAGAAGAGATTTTGTGAATTTAATATAATTAAATATTGATGAAGCTATACAAGAAGGCAGCCAACTAAAACTTGAACTTTTTTGTGCCTTAAATTGAAAATTTTCAAGTTTTAATCACCAAAGGATTTAAAGGATTATAAGTGCTCTAAGCCTTCCTATTATAATATTCAATTTAATTCTTAACCCAAGCATCTCACAAATTTTAATAACCTTTAAGTTGTCAATCTTTTCATTCTTAATTTGCAAAAGGAAAAAGTGTTTAAAGCTTTTCATCACTTTGCTTTCTTTTCTTGGCCTTTGACAGCTTCTCATCTTTTTATTTTATTCAAACATTTTTCAATTGCTCTTGAAATCTTCCATCTCGTTACTTTTTGATAAAGCTGATTCTTGATCTTTATGAGACTTTTTTTTTTGGCCTAAAATTTTTCATCTTTTAGAACTTGAGAGGAAATTTTGCTTTTGCTTTGTGGATTTTTCTTATTGAATATTTTTGCTAGGTTGCAGAGTGGCTTTAAGATTTGAATCTTGGAGGGTTCTTTGAGGACATCTTGTGATATTTTCTTTTAATAACGGTCTGGGTTGTTTAGGTATACTTGGGATATACTTTGGGTTTTTGTGATTCAGAATGAGGTGGAATCTAAGGATGTAGCTTTGAGTCGTCGAAAGAGGAGACTTTTTTGCATCAGTTCTCTCAATTTACAATCATTTTCATCATTTTTTTTTTAAAAAAACTTATGACACAAATCTGATTTAAAATAAAGTCTTATATATTTGGGTAATATTTTTATGAATTTTGACAATATGAATCAGCAATGAATCTGACTTTAAATGATAAAGCTGATAACAAATGAAGAAAATAATTGTAAAATTTTTCATTTTTAAATTTTTTCAAACTTTAGTAAAGCTCTCAAGTTTTATTATTAAACCGATGTGGTTGTTCATACCATTTTGGTAGACCAAGGCTCTACAGGAGACCTTACTAAGATCACCTAATTAATTTTTAGATATTTTTCATTTTTTTCTAGTATCAAACTTCATAGAATCATTAAATAAAGGTTTAAAATTGGAATTTTATTATAAAAAAAAGTTCAAAAATACTTAATCATGACCAAACAAGTCTTCAAAAAATAAATTAAATTCAAAGCACTTCAATAATGCATAAAAAAATCTCAATTTGCTACAAAAAAAAATAAATAAATGAGTGGACAAAACACAACAAAAAAATGAAAATTAATTAATGCTTTATTATTAATTATTATCGAACTTAATATGCATTAGTATGATTAATTTGTTATTATCATTTAAAAAAAATTAAAATCGAAAAAAACAAAACAAAACAAAAAATATCGAAGGACATATAAGAATGAATTAGAAACATCACTTGCAATTTTGGACATATTACACTTGTGTATTACAAAAAAACGATAATTATGAGTTTTTAATTGAATTGTTTGTACTTATTTCGACTTAGCGAGCAATAAAAATTAACTACGAGAATATAATTTATTTTATATAAAAAAATTCTGATATTTGATTGATGTCTGATACATTATTCATATCGCAACTATGATAATAAGTAAATATATGTTATTGATATTACACATCATGACATGACCAAAAATAATGAATACAAAAAATTTTGTTTTAAAATTTAATCTGATTTTTAATTTTAAAAATGTATAAAAAATTGTCTTTTTTTTTGAATAATCATAAAAATTATGGCAAATTATGGTAACATACTTATGAGTATAGATATATTTATAAAAAATTATGGAATGCAATTAATTTGATCATATATAATATATTGTTTGTAATATAAAAGCGGGCAGGCTCTGAGAACGTTTTTAATGATTTTTGTTTTGGTTTGGTTTCAAAAAAAAAAGCTAAAATCAAAATTACCTTAAAAATAAGACTGCTTTTTGAAAAGCTCGCCTGCTTATCGCCGGGTTTCCCTCTTCTGTCTGTATGTTTTTTCTGTAGATTTTGGAGAATCTAGTCGTCGAGATATTAACAACAATGATATAACATAGGAAGGGAGATATATTAAATTCGAGTTAGAGATATACGTGATGTATCATCAGACATGACAAGTGGAAAAAAAATTTTTAATCATATTTTTTTTCATTGATTTTTTTTCTTGTTGTTGTGCTGTTTGAGAATCAATTTTTTTGCTTTCTTTTTCTTTAGTTCATTTTTTTCTTTTCTTCAATAATGTTTTTGATAGATACGATTAGATAAATATAAATATATTGAGTAGTTTATTTGTAAGAGTTGTTGTTGTTGTTTTTTGTCAAGGGATGGCAATTGATTGATCTTGATTTGAGTTGAGATTGATTTTTTTGCATAGTTGCATAGTTTGAAGTTTTGATTGGGAATTATTTGAGTTATGACAATGATTAGCATGGTAAGGGGAATATTGACAGCACTAGCCCGAATAACACATGCCGTTTATTCGTACAAAAGTTTGTCATCATGCTGATGTGACTCTAGTGGGATACCAGACTTGATTTAAATCCAGTTAAGCCAAGGCTCTAAGTTCTAGGGCACCCGGGCCGTCCTATCCAAGTCTTAGATTGATTTTAATTTCAATTTCTGCCCAATGGTGCCCTGAATTGACTAAGAAACCAGAGTCGTACCAGCTTGGTACCAAATTTTGTTTGATTAACCGATATGCCTTATGCTATTCGGGTTGGTTTGCCAAAGTGTCTCTTTTAGCTAATTCTTAAGACTTTCTTTCATAATGACGTCGATGAGAGGTACAAGCTCTTTAAAATAAGCTTCTGAAGAGCTTTATGAATTTTAAGAACACAGCTTAAATCCTAAAGATTAAGAACAAAAATCCATTTAAATAGGTTAATTTTTGGACCACAACTACTTTAAGCATTGCTGACTTTAAATCAGTGTTTTACGACCTTTTTGCTGGAAAGCCATGACCGAATAAAGTTCGTTGGATGCAAGTTTTCCAGATTCACTAGAGACACTCAAGGAAAAAAGGCTTGCCATCATTGCTTCTGATCATTGAAATAGACATACATGAAACTAGAATTAGATCAAACTATACAAACCAGTTCAAATTCTAAACCAAATCACTCAAATTATTCATCCCTTGTAAAAATAATTTTTGTTGTAGTAAAAAAAGTAGTAAAGTAAAAAGATTTTTTTTTGTTATTTCTTCCTCTTTGATTTATTACACTATCGAGCGCAAAAATGTTTCAGCAGAATGAAATGATAATAACAATAATAATGAATAATAAAAAATGTAGTTTCATAACTTTTTGAAATCTTTGTGGTGTAACATTATATTTCCTTATGCATACTACTAAATTATTTTATTTCTTATTTCCCTTTGGTATTTAAGTAGTAAGTTGATATATGTATGATGGCATGATAATAGGAATGAGATTTTTCAATATAGACAATTTGCATGTGCTCTTGAGTATTATAAATATTACATCGCGATGCTCCAATTCAATGGTTTTAGTTCTTGAAATAAATTTATGAAGGGAAATGGATGCAAAGTTTTCCTTCTTTTTTGTAGTTTCAACTTTTCTTGTGGAAGTTTTTTTAGCATTATTCGAGGTTGTAATGATTTTTGAGAGGAACTGCATTACTTAAGGGATTTATATTAAATTTATTGGTTTTTGTTTGAAATTTTTCAATTATTTTGAAGGTTTAGTTCTTAATAAGAAGCTCTATTTTGATTTGACACATCAATGAGTCACTACATGAAAAAATCATTAATTTAAAATCAATCATGAGTCGATACAAAATCAAGATCCATTGTGTCTCCACATAAAACATCAAATTTCATAAATAATACATCAGTTCATTAAATTTTCCGACAAGTCATGATTCTTTAATAAACTTAGTAAGATTATTGAAATCCCAAAATGGCAGTCTCGTGCAAAAAAAGTCTGTGATAAATGGCATCATTTATGAAACTCACATGACTCTCGTGCACAAACATTCCAAGGATCGAAGATTTACGACAAACAGGAAAAGTTGAAACTTGAAAAAGATTTTTTGAATCCATTTTAGAAATAAAGATTTTTTCTTAACCTTCGTTAATATTTTATTATGTGATGTGTGCTTATGGAAAAGTCAAATTTGTAGGTTATGCAGAGCTGCTTTTATCTCATTTGAAATTTAATTTTAGTTCAGCTAAAGCTATGAGAGCCTCAGGAGATTTCAGAAATTTTGAGCATCTAAAGACAACAACTCTGCAGTCTATAAATTATGATGACCACATAATGATTGCAAAATCGATAGCTGAACACAAATAAAAAATGTAGATGAGAATGTAAAGTACAAAAATTTATGAGCTTTTTTTCTCCTGCATTTAAATAAAATTACTAAAATAAAAAAAAGATTCCAAATGGTTTTATTTAAGGTCTTAACGATGATAAGTAGAATGAGGAAAAAAAATGTATAAATAAATTTTATTAACAATTTTAATACAAAATGTACATAATCATTTTGTTCTGTTTTAAATATTTTCCTTTTGCTTCATTTTAAAAGATAAACTGAGGTATTGCACACATACATGTATAATGCAAACATGTAGCTTGACATTAATAATAAATGACTTAAAAATCCCGGGTTGCACTTGATTAATTTTGGACCTATGTTTTCTTTAGAGCTTAGCAGTAAAAGAAAAATTTAAAAGCTAGCATTTTAATTGCAAATCAACGTTGATAATGTCCAAGTTTGAGTGTCGTCAATTTCACCACATTTAGCTCTTATTTATAATTGAATTCATTACAATGTTAATTAAAACTACTCCAAAATCAAGTCTCCAACTTAACAATCGTGCTCCTCGGGCATTTCTGCACAGATTTGGTACAAAAAGCTTCCGGTGTCTCTCAGACAAAAAAATATTCTTCAATTAATTATTTTTCATAAAAATATTCTTGCTGTCTTATTCAAATTTTCTCGTGAAGATAAATAAAGTAAAACAGAAGAGCAAAGAAGGTGGAAAGAGGAAGAAGACAAAAAAAATTGTAAAAATTTAATAAAATCCTCAAAAAAGAAATGAAGAACATTGGCCTGAATTGTTCCGTTTTGGAATAAATACAAACAGAAAGAAGAGTGAAATGATAAAACAGAAAATTAATGTTTAAAGTGGAAATGTTTAAGTTCTAAATTGAGGAAGTTGGTGGAGGAAATGCCTTAGCTCCAGATGCAGTTTTAGGATGTGGTTGCAGTTGATCAATAAGAATTTATGTTGATAATTGTGTGTTGCCTTAAATTTGCTAAGAGCGACACATCTGCTGTCTTATCGCATCAAATGTAAAAATTCATGGTTCCTTTAACATCCCGAAAATAAGATTCATCTTCTGACACCTCAAACCTAAAAATCAAGAACCCAAACTCAAATGCACATTTGTCTCAAATGTAACAATTTCTCAATTTACGTTTACGTCAAATCCACAAACGCTTCCTGATAATCAAGGTGTCTTTTCATTCTCTTCATCATTTTATCCATTATTCATTGAAGGAACAAAAGAAAATTTCCTTCTTATTTGCACTTTACTATCATTTGTCTTGTGACAATGACAAGAAAATTTCAAAAATGAAAAATTAATTGTCACAGCTTTTAACGTGAAAAAGCTTTTAATTTTTGACTCTTTGAGATCTTTTTGGTGGGAGATTTTGAGGTAAAGTTGTTAAGGCTTGATTTTGTTAATGGGTTGAGGTTACTTTTGGAATTTGTATTGAGAGATTCTTAGATTTAAGTCTTGGGTAAGTTTGAATTAGAAAAATATGAGTGTAATCTGAAGATTAAGATGTATGGACAATACTAAGTGATGAAGACTTGGAACAAGGGTTGATTAGGGTTTAGGATCAATCTAGCTAGGTTGAGGTTCGAATTCCTAGCGCAAGGTTCTGTTGACAAAGACAGCAATGCACTTGGTTCTGGTAATTCGCAAGCGTAAGCCAGCGATACAGCTAGTTTCAGGCACCATCTCAGGTAAGCCCAGCGAAGTAAGTAAGTAATTGAGAGGTTCGATTCCCATCATTATTAAACAGTCATCAACTTTGAATATTGCAGCTCAATACACCTCATATTTTCTCCTGTACCTAAACATAACCAACATCCCATTCCTTAGCTCTGGAGTTAAGACATTTTCATCACCAAACTCACATCCTCCAATAGTCTCATGGCAAATGGATGAAACACCATAACAAAACGAAGAATAAAGAAAGAAAAAAAACTGTTTTTAAATGATGATGATGCTGTATTTTTTTGTGAATGCAGAAATATAAAACCACATTTTAATTATATGCCGTTAGTCATTACGATAAAAAAAAAAATTTTTTTCATGAAAATGTAAAATGAAAATGTTGATAATAATTTCTTTTGCTGTTGTGCTGCTATCACCAATGTTTCATTATTTTTCATGAGAAGATGAATTGTTGATAGACAGAAGAGCTTCAGCGATTGACAAAATTATTTCTTTTTTAATTAATGAATCTTCTGTGTTTAATTTGACTGATGTCAGAGTTGCTGTTTTGGGGATCTCTTTTATGGATTGACAATTCTTCAAGTATTATTGATGAATTGTTGTGATATCATGTGATACGCTTAATATCTCTAGTAGTATTGCATACTGTAAGATTCGTTCTAAGCCGTTCTAAGATGTGAATTAGGACCCTAACCTTCTTCTCCAGACTCCTCTAAAACAGCAACTCTGACATCCTTTCCGTCAAATGAAAAATGACACAAAAATATTTCCTGAAATGAAATTTTCTCTCGAAAAATTAAACAAACTTAAAATTGTTTATAAATGGAATGATAGGCTGAATGAGGAAGGATTCTCAATGGGTTCTAGGAGCAAGAGGAAGAAGTAGTAGAAGAAAAAGTATGAAAGCAACAGAGTAGGAGGAAGAAAAAACATTTAAAGGTAGCGCAAATGCTAAATGGTTCCAAATATCTTTTCGCTTAATAATT